ACTATCTGATGGCAAGTATGGCACCTGGAGGATTTGGGATCTTCATGACCAGGGGTGGAGTGTGGCATTTTGTGTGTGATTTAGGATGAATTGAAAAGTTCAATCACAGTCCCTCTCCCAAAACATGCTGTGTCTGAATTGTTTAGGAAATGTGAAGAGGCTGTATCAGGAGATGAACCAATAGGGTTTTTGATGGGATTACTGATCTAAGTCTTGATGTCATTGCTCTCTGTGCTCAAGCCAATTAGGACCTAAATCTGAAGTGGAAAGAGATGATTAAATCCAATTGAAGAGAAAATTACAGCCTGCTGCCTTGATTAGCCTCCTTTTTGAAAACAACTTATTTTGGTGTTCAAAGGCTTGAACCTCCAGACCTGTTTTTTTAAAATAATGTACAGTATAAGCACTCTGCATTTATTCACCAAGATCTCAGTGTGTCTATGCAGACACACAATGCCCTTTTTCCTTAATTTATTTAAGGGTTAGGGCTTCCCTGGGAGATACAACTGTGAACCAAAATATGCCTTTTCCTCCCTACAGACTCCAAGTAGAGAACACCCAATCAGGCAGCTTGATGCCTCAAACACATACAGTCGTATCGCAAGTTATTTTGTCCTTCAGTTAGCTTTCAGCGTTAGTCTTTCCAAATCCCCTGTAAATTTTACTTGGCTCTATAAAATTCAAGACATCTCTTATTAAAAATATAAGAATTACATTTATTGCTGTAATGGTTACAAATCTTTTAGACAACAGATTTAGAAAGACTGTATGCCATTCACGTTTCAAGGTAATAGGAATGTAAAATTAGTGGATACAATAATGCCCTTATTGATATATGTATTCTACTATTACTTACTTATTAGTGCTTACTAGAAAAATAATTGTATGTATTGAGAAAGGAATAATTTCTAATATCATTGCTTTTAAGATTTGAAGTACAATTAAAAATCTTTTAAATTCCCCTTCATTTTGTCTAAGGAATATGCTTTTTTAGAATTTTAAAATGATAAATGCATTCTTTTATGAAGACCCTGTATTCATGAACACATTGTATTTTTCCTGAAGAGCTTTGAGTATATTTATCTATATTTTGGTATTATAGGAATATGAAGAATAAACAATGACAGTTAGAAAAAGTGCATCACCAATTCTATATATGGTATTTTGATATAAACTGTGTGTAGCCAGGCGGCACAGTGGCAGGGACTGGCCTTGCTGCGCATCCTGGGGCCATGGGTCCAGTTCTGGACTTGGGGTTCTGTCCCCGTGCAGATTGTACTGTTCTCCCCATGTTTATGTGGGGTTCCTCCCACAGCACTGGAAGGTTAATTGGCTTCCACTGTAGAAAACTGGCCCAAGTGTAAGAGTGGTGCCCGGTGATGGATACTGGGTGATGGATACTGGGTGGACAGTATCCTGCTTCACGCCTGTTGCACTGCAGACGATTAATGGATACAGCAGTCAGAAAACGTATGGGTGTGTGTGTACAGTTTGACTTGTATATGGGTTTGTTTCGCTGAAAGGGAAGTCCTCTGCTCCATTAAGGAAGAAGTATTTTCTTCACTGCTGGATTATCAGTTTCTGAAAACTTAGAAACCTTTAGATTTGGGCAGTATGTTTGTTATTAAGTGTAGGCCAAGGGCCTCTATCAAGTGGGCCTTTTATTAGATATTTTGTATGTACAGTATATGAAAGATTAATGTGATTTAATCGTATAATGCTGAAGAACTTAAGATACATAATAATAATAATTATAATAATAATTGCTTACACTTATATAGCGCTTTTCTGGACACTCCACTCAAAGCGCTTTACAGGTAATGGGGATCCCCTCCACCACCACCAATGTGCAGCATCCACCTGGATGATACAGTATCCTTCAGATTATTGCCTTTTGACTTTTGTTTATCCCCAGTGTACCCTGCTCCTTTCTGAAATAAGTGTATTTAACGTTTTAAAAAAAAGCAATTTAGCATTAACATTTTTTTCAGGTCTTGCTCTCGCAGATGAAAGTGTTTTGCTTACCAAGACTTTGCCTCAGGAACAGATGTGCATCGATATTACTGAAGTGCATACAACTGCTAACTGGGATAATTGTAAGTTTTGTTAATTATCTTATACTAAGTAATTGGCCACATATTAAAATGATTTCTTAGCATTTAAAAATTAGGCAATCTGCATTTATTAAAATGACAAATGTAGAAAAAATTCCAGCTTCCACTCTTGAGTTTTGTGAGCCTCCTATCCTATATACTGTATATGCAAAGAGCAAGTGATTAATGTGTTTTATCCCAGATTACAAGACACTACTCAGAGATTATGTCCAGACGTATAGGACTCCCCTTTGCCCATCTGCTTTATTAAACTGCACCCAGAGCTTAGTTTGCTGTACACCGGTACACAAACAGAATCCACACAAAGCCTAAAGATGAATTTGATTCACTTAATAATGGCATCATTTAGGAATTCTCGGAACCTTATTAGTATAAGGAATGAAGATGCAATCAAATATTGTTACACCCAGTAATATCTGGATAATACAGCAGTTCTTCTGCACAGAAATAAAGTAAAATGCTCAGCTTTCTCAAAACTGCACATATAAGAAGTTAAGAGGTAATGAAAGCAGAATAGCAAAAATACACAACATAAGTTTTTGAAGTATGTATTGTTAAGTGATGACAAACTGTATCCTGGAGCAAAGGTATTAATTGCATAAAAATACAGATTGCAGGGTAGCATGTACTATATTGTAGTTATCAGCCACATTTTGTACAACATATATTTTGCAGAATTTCCATATCTACTGGCATCAGCAAATTCAACAATAATAACTGCTGGTTTCTTTACTAATGGCTTTTCGACAGTTGGCATTAAAGAAGAAATTTCAGTAGCATCTGCTGGCAGTCTTACATATGGCCTGGATGACTGTTCTCCTGATGCCTAGTGGCATTGTGGCACAGCAGCATCTTGCATGCTTAGCTTTAATAGGTTTATGCAGCTGGTGACAATGTTCGTCTGCTCGTAAGAGGAGTCCGTTGAAATGAATCAAAAAACGGGTCACTCACTGCCTCTATTCCACTCCACACCGATACCTGCAAACACTCTCTGTGTTTATAATCCCATTCTTTTTATTCTGCAGTCAAGATCAAGAAGACATCCCTATAGTGCTGGAGGTCTTAGATACAAGAAGCAATACACACAGTACACAGTGTCCCTTGGCCCTAGTGCAAAACAGCATGTTAAAATGAAATGGAAAAGCTGTTTAAGCTTGATTCTTATCAGGAATATTTAATATGGGAGGTAAATTTCCATCACCAACATGAATCAGTATTTACAATATCAAGCACCCTAAAAAGTATTCGTGGTAGAACCTGAACTGTAAATTTCAGAACATTTTATGTCAGAACATAATTTTTCCCCTACATTTACCAGGTCTCAACTGTTGTGACAGTAATTTCACTTGTCTCCTTTCTCCATAGTGCTAAGCATCACCCTTTCCATCCACTACTGCTCGTTAAATTCAGTCACTGTTTCCAAAAACACTGCACTGAGACCAGCAGCCTCCTCTGTTTAGTGCTCTATTGTATGTTGTTTTCTGATTACCCACTCTTTGCCCTATACTGTATATAGATGTATTTGTATCTTGCTTTGCGATGAGACAGTAGATATTTGCTGTTTGATTGTGGTTGCAGTACGGATGCACTTTGCTGTAGCACAGACAGGAAGTAGGTGTTGAACGGATGTTTGATTGTTGGCCGTTGCGGAGTCTAAGTTCTTGTGATTTAGTTATGTAGCAAAGGTGACATTATTATATTGGGGAACCAATCTTTTTTCATGTACATTGAGATATTGTGATGGGGAACAGAAAAACAGTAATTGAGAGAAGCCAGCATTTTTTTTCTGGCACAGCTGAAAAACATATAGGAACTGCCAAGAGGGATGCGGAAAAGAATATTTCATTCTTTGTTTAGTACATTAACAATAAATAAGTAGAAGTGGGCTTTAATATTATAAGAGGTAATAGGGGATTAATAATATTAAAATTTAAAGGCGCAGTAAACATGCTGAATTAATATATTCACCTTTTTATAGCTCCATACTGGATTTAGGAACATATACTATTTCATATACATACTGTATCACATCAATGATCTGATAATGTAGGAAGCTACACATGAAAGAGATCTGGATGTTGGTGTAGATTCTTTATCAAGACTGTAAGCAGCAATAAAAATGCAAACAGAGTATATAGCAAAAAAGTGTGGAATTTAAATTTGAAGCTATGCTTAAGCATTACATTGCATTAGTCAGACCTCACTTTGAATATGTAATTGTCCAGTTTTGGACACTATACCACAAAAAGGTGTTATAGCCTTAGAAAGAGTTCAAAGAAAGGCAACAATGTTTCCTGGTCTCAGTGTATTGACATATGCAGATGAGTTAAGGGAGCTAAATCTCATCTGTCTAGAGCAAAGACTGTGATTTGATTCAAGGACATACAATACAATCCTATGGGGTAAACTGTAGATGGGGTTAATTCAGGGGACTATAACATACTCAGTAGTGAAGCATAGACATGGCAAAAATAAGAAACTAAAAGGGAATTAATTTAGGATGGAAAGAAGGAACTTCTTCTTGACACTAACTTAAAGTTGTCAGGAATAGGCTTCCCAGTAAGGTGATGCAAGCCCAAAACTGGGCACTTGTAAGAAATGGTGAACATTTAGTTTCACTTATGGTCTTTTCAAGAATGGCCCCTCATTTGCCTCCCACGACATTGCATGATCTTTCCCTCTAGAATGTAATTTTCTTAAGCATTTTTGTAAGCATTTATTAAATTGTGTTTTCTAATAGTTTGTCAACCATAAAATAGTACAAGCAAAAGACCATGCACAGATTAAAAGAATATTATAACACATTTCAAGTCTCTAAACTCTAATCAGAATACAGTATCACCTTCCTTCTAATTCAAATGGAAGAAAGGCTGGAGCTTCACTTACTGGAACTAGGAATTTCTTAATCTCCTCCAGGGCATGACTCATCCGGGAATATGCTTCTCCAGGTGGAGCGAAAACCTCAATTAAAACGTGAAGATCGTTACTCAAGTGGGCATACTTCGCCTCTCCACTCTTTCTTAGCTCTTCCTCCTGTGAACAAAAATAGGTTGAAGCAAACTAATTAGCTGATTATTGCATTATTAGAAGTATCCAGACATACATAATAAATATGGAATTGCAGGGGAGGGGGGGGGAGGGTTCCCCTAAATTACTAGAGTCTTCTGCAGATTTGGGGCTCTTACCCGCAAAACACGGAGTTAGAACAGTTAGTACAGTTAGTACAGTACGTCACTGATTAGTACATTTGGGAATGGGAAAGCTGCCTTTCAATCCACATAACTATTTACTGTACATTTTGGAATGTCCTTCAAATTATTGTTCACAAATTGTGAAATGTAATGTAAGTAGCACTAAAACATCCCCTCTCACAAATGTGGTTTCTCTAATCTATTCTTCAAATACTGTTTTAAATGGCTTTTGCCACTAAAAAGGACTTCCTAAATCGACAACAGTCTTGTCACAGACAATGAGTTTTCGGCAAATTGCAGGCTAGTAGAAATAACTAAAAAACATCTTTGTGGGTAGCCTTGAATTCCCTGCTGCCTTGTGATTCTTCTGAGACACATTACATCCCACTTTCAGCAAACAGTCACCTTCATAAAGTCTACTGATTGCTGAAGGTCACTGCTAACTCTTCTACAGAGAGCCAGTAATTACAGCTGCCTGTATTAACTTCTTGTGTAGATTCTCTCACTTTCATTACACTGGTGTAGCTCTAGAATCAAGGCTTCAAGGGCTTTGATGTAGAAAACGACAACAGCTACTCTATCAGTAACACACACCTACATAGGCTCTTGATTATTAGGAAATGCTACTTGAATCTGGAAAGTGAGAGATGACAGTGACCCAGGATTGCTTTTTAAAAGCACCTGATTCACGTTAATGGTTTCAAGCACTTTGGTAATCACACTAATCTTAAAAAACATGCAGCAAACTGCCCTATCTCAGTTTTCCAGGCCAAGGACCTGAGAACTGAGTTTGCAGTGTTAAGTGCTGCAGCTTCTATGTCTTTCTCTCAAGCAATCATTTCAAGAAGAATGCCCTTTTCTTTCACTCTGTTCTATAATCAAGCTATTAAATTTGAATAACTGTCCTTCATAAATGAGCCCTGGAGCATTAACTCACTCTCAATCAAGGTCTGATATGGGTGTTCATCAAACGTTGATTAGGAGTCATCACAATCATGTGTAAGGAGAGGAGAGCAATGGGAGAGGAAGGGGTGGCAGCACTGGGAAGCCTGCCTAATGTTTAAACAAGGGAGCTGCTGTTTAAGACCAGGTGGGGGATTTATTTAAGTGATGTAAAGCAGAAAACATTTAAAATAAGCAGAGAAGCTACACAGATCAAGCAAAGAGGGCACTGAAATCTGTGCTGCACGCTACCTGTGCTAGAGGGAGACATGAAAGACAGTCCTCTGTCCAGTTAACAATAATCAGTAAGCAAATGCATTCTGAGTACAGGGCACCTTGTTGCAGGGAACCAGTGTCCTGAAGAACATGTACTGTTTCTCTCAGATTTCAATCTACTCATTTCCACAACACTTTCAAAGAGCACTACACGTCACATAAGACTTCTAATGTCCACTAGTAGTCAGAGGTTTTTCATTTTCATATATAGACTTTTCTGATTTTGAAAGAAAAAAAAAACTTCACAATGTCAAAACAGTTACTCAGACTTTTCACTTGAAATGAAATTTGATAAATATTGTCTTCTGCATTTAATCTTGCACAATTTGGCCTAATAAACCTTTAGCTGTGACCAGAATACTGACATAATCCCAAGATAAATAGTCTTTCACTTGCAGCCATCAAAAAAAGTAGTCCTTACCTACACTATGTGTTCTCCTGTTGCAGAGGAAATGTTAAATTTGATTGTTTTATTGCAACTTATGCAGCCTAATGTAATGCAATAACGATAGACCTCAATGACACAAAATTAACTGATAACCTTCTATGCAAATAAATCATTTTGGTTAATATTCATATATTAAGTATTTTTTTATACGTATAGGTATAGTACATTGACATAATTTTAATATATCGGTACTATATATGTTCTGTGTATTTTGAAAATACTGTATATACTGGGTATAAAAGACAGAGACAGACTACAGCAAAAGTGAGCAAGTCTTCTTAAGAGAATGTCAAATTTGTCAGGTGATGCAAAAACGGACAGATGTGAAAGGATAATTTGACAGCTCGCCAGCATGTCATCTCCTGAGAAGAATATGGCTTAACATTTGTTGTGCATCATGTTTGAAAGCTTTAAATTTTCTTTTTATGTCAATCCGTGAGCAAAATGCAGTATTGTTTCATAATCAGGGCAATCTTTCTGGTAGAATTTCAAAGTTTTCTGAAGTGGTTCAATCCAAATACAGCAGGAGGCTTTATTATATTTTATAAAATGACAGATCTTCTGATTTTTGTTTTATTGCTAATGTTTTCAGGAAAGTTGCAAACAAATGGCTGTACATGAAGAAACAAGGTAGATAAACACCACTTGCTCCTCATGAGCAAATGAAACAGGTGCCTTACATAAATATTTAGACCCTTGTATAGCTTTCACATTATTTAGCTTTAAATCAACCTAAATGTTATAATTTGTTATACAGTATATACAACCGGCTCTGCACATTCAAAGCAAAAAAAATATGAACAAATGGAAGCTGTGATTACTTCAGCACATGGCTGAGGCAGAACCTAATTTGAGTTTGCACATGTAGCCAGCAGCTACAGTATATCACCCTGCAACCTATAACTGGCAGCCCACTGGACCTCAGCAGGTGTGAGCCTGGCCAGTACCTGGATGGGAGACTCATGGAGAAGCTAAAGCTGCTGCTGGAAGAGGTGTTAGTGGAGCTAGTAGGCGGTGCTCACACTGCTGTCTTGGTGGGTCCTAATGCCCTGATAAAGTGACACTATACTGTAAAAAAAAAAAAAGTCCTTTGGATGAGTTTTTAACTCCCTATGGTCATTAAGAATTATAAGGCATTTCTTGAATAGAGTATGGGTGTTACCCCAATGACCTGGCCAAGTTTCCCCTAAATCATGTCCAATAAAAGCATTATCCATGTGATTATTATGTCTTGTGTTGCAGTTATGAAGGGATTCTGAATCCATTATGCAGCAATATCATTATTACTAATGGGATACCGCATTTTAAGTCACCAATCCAAAACTTTAAAATTAAGTTAAGGAAATGCCTCCTTGCTGTACGGCCTTTTTTTAACATGCTGTTGCTGTTGTTTTTTTAAGTTTGTTTTTTTAAGTTTGTTCTTAAATATTAGTACTGTACACAGTTAAACCACGATCGGAGAACTGATCTTAGTCTAGCCCCTGCTTATGCCTAGTCGGAATGCCATTCCTTGAAAACATTTAATAGATTCAACAATCCATTGCTCACAAATTTGACACACTTAAGAACTGGGGTATTGCAACATGCACATCTTTACATTTTTCATGTGTATAATTTGTCTGCTTTGTAATGACAAACTGCAGTATATAATTGCCTGCAAGTGGTATCTCCAAATTTGCTTTTGTGTTTAGCTTTTCCTGCTACCTTTGCACCCAAAGAGAAATGTTATTTTTAAATCAAATTCCTTGCAATAAATGACTTGTTTTGCACATCATACATTTATTATGTCAGACATGTAGCAGTCATGCAGTATTTCTGATATGAAGAATTATTGATGATGAGCTCTAAATGGTGTCAGAATATCAGAAGTGAAGTTCATAACAAAATACCTCAGTAGATTAAAACCTTGTGATACCGAGAAACCACAAATTGCTGAAGACACGCAAAACCATGCCAGGATTAAACTCTAGCTCAACAGTTGTATTGATTTTGTAAACACATAAATGTCAGACTCAAGTGTTGTACACTATTCAATCAGGGGAGAATGGGAATGATTAATATTTCAGAGTAGGAAGATTATTATCCATCAGGAATGTTCTAAAACTGATAGTACAGTAGTGAAGATACAAAGCCACAGCCTTGAAATTACACTTTACTGCTCATTAAACAATTACACCTTGCAAACCAATATACATAAAAATGACCTAAGAAACATGGTGACAGATTTGCTTTGCTACATTCATTTCTGTTTAATCTGGTATAATCTGCATGAGTCCTCAATGCTGTAATGAAGAAAGAATTAAAACAAAATGAAGCAATTCCCTAAATATAATGGTTAAAATGCATTGCTAAAAATACATTTAATAGAGAAAAATAGGCTTGCCACTTGTTCATCTTTGAAAGATGGATGTACACGCCTTGTTATACTGTACAATGTTAACCACTGCTGATATTTTTTTCTTTATTTTACCAGGTACCTCATTTGAGAACAAGTTCTCATTTACAGTGACCACTTGGAGACCCACTTATGCAGCGAAGCACTTCCCAGAGCACTTTGAGTGAAGTACTGTACCTTACTGAAAGGTACAACAGCTAACATCCCACCTGGACTATGAACCTACAAGCCTCTGTCCTGGAGCAAAGCCCTAACTACAACTCTGCACTGCTGCTGAATGAATTCTCAAAGTCACGATGGTGCTATAAACAGTAAATTTGTATATACTGTACACACAGAAATGACCGAGAAAATAATCTCAGATGTTCATAGTCCTCAACATTTGCAAGGGAGATGTCAGATACCCCATGCTAATATAAATGGAAGTTTTATCAGTGCAGGACAATTCCCAGATCACATGTGGGTGGTTTAGCACTAAAGTTACTGGCAGCACACTTCTTGCAAGCTCAGTTTACACATCCATTCTATGCCTTTTCCATCCTTAATGATCATCACCAATCACCAAGGATGTCTTCCCAATGGCTAAACATCACATATGCACAGATAACTGCTTTGTCAATGCTGTAGCAATAAAATGATGGGGGCTTTGATGTCCTGGCATCTGGATAGACACATGTTCTTGTTGCCGATGCCATCATTATTTTCTGAGGTGGTGACACTAAATCACTGGCACTGTGCTTAAGGTCTCCAGGGTGAATTATTGAAGGCCCAAAAAAGTTCTTCCCCTTAGACTCATTCCATCATTTCCATTCTGCATATTGTCTTTTCCTTTTTTCCTCTACTCCTGCATACAGTGCAGTTGCTCCACTCCCACTCTAACATCTCTTGTAAAATGGTGACATTGTAATAATGGACATGAAATTGACAAAAATGAAAAAAAAAACAAATGTCAAAACTGGAAATAGATAAAAATATGGAACATATTTAGACTTTCAAAAGGTAAATCTCTCCTATGTTAATATTTTCCTATAAGGCTGCTCTTTTAGGAAAAGGGCTTGAAACATTTCTGGAATAATTTGAGATTTGTAATATTGAGGAAATATAAGTATGATAGTATGTAAAATATTTATAGTATGTAAATATATACATAGTATATTAGTAAATGAGTATGTGTGTATCTTGTTTCACTAAGCCTAATTGACAAAAAAATGCCCAGTTAGATTTCAATTACTGATAAGCTGTGGGCTACCAAAACCATTGAGCTCAGCTGCCTAGAGGTTAGACAGAGGAAGAACAGGGCAGTGAAGATCGTTATAGAGGATTCTGCACCGGGAGGTTTGTGCACCTAAGTCATGGCACAGCAAAACAACCACTAGCTTGCACGAGGTCCCATTAATCCACATTCTTCAGCCTTTAAAGGTAAAGGGAACTTTCATCTGTCTGGTCTATGTGATCTTGTCTTCCACTAAGACTGTTTGTTAAGGTGGTCTTGACTAACAAGTGCTCTGTAGTTCTCACCAGGAGTAATTGGAGACTTAGAGTAATACCCCTACTCTACCAGGGGCCACCTGGCTCTTTCACTGTTCCTTCTGCTGATCCTGCCCATAGTTTAAGAGAAGGAAGGAACTCCTGGGAGCCAAAGTCAGCAGGATGAATTGCTTCCGCAGGAAAGGTGTATATTATTTATATGAACAAGTAGAGGTTAATTCCCTGCTAAAATGAAAGAAGAACCAAGTTTTTTTTTCATGTTTTTCTTTTCTTGTGTTTCCAGCACATTCTTCTTCCATTTTATTTTAACCTCTTCTTGTTCCCTTGTAGCTTGCACACTGAGGCAGCCCCCTGATTGCAGATCACACATGTGTATGTGCAGCTTTACTAAAGCAAGCATGGTCAATTGTGGGAAATGTAATCCAGGAAACATGGGTTGATATTGTTTTGCTCTACTTTGAACAAAATTTCTTATAGTAATGGCTACTTTGAAGATGCACTTACAGTAAAGGTAGACTTTTTTCTGCATAATTTCCCCTCTGTTGTATTCACAGGAGGAATAACTAGGACCAGGTTTTGTTTCCTTTATATTGCAGTTTGAAAATGTACCTCCTCATGAGATATGTTTGTAAGTGATTAAGCTCATTATACTATTATATTTATGGGACTTCACTGTCTTGGAAAGAGAAGTCTTAGCCAATTATCAGAATGCTGTATTAGTAAAGAAACCATCCCATAGGACTCCATTACTGCGGCAGTTCATAGGAGTTATATGTTTCCATTTGTCTAGGGTTTGTAATAGTTCTGCACTGTCATTGAACAAAGACATATAGAGATTTGGACTACAGCATTCATTTCAAAATGGTTATCCTTAATAAGTGTTGTAGTATTGGACTGGGACTGGGATATTTCCCAGCACTATAAAGTCATTTTTTTCCTTCTGATACTTCTACTGGTTTTAAAATGTTTTCTATTGTTTTCTTTTATGGTTGGTTTGGGAGAGCTAGCAATATTAAATCAAAGTATATTAAGCAATGCCTACAATCTACCTTACAATTACATTTTGAAAGAAACCTAAAACATCAACAAAGCAGGTGGTTCATTTGCATGGGGCTTTTCAAAAGGAAATACAGGATTAACCCAAAATGAACCAGCAAATGATGATATGACTTTTATCTGCGTGCACCTTTAATGAAAGATAAATTATGACGTATTCTGAAAAACATAAGTGTACAGAGTTACCAGTTAACATCCATACCTTGTCTTTATCTCGCATCGAACCCTTCCCAAGGATGGACATTTTTGCTCCTGTTTCTTCTTGCAATCTCTTCAGTGAGTTTCCTCTTGGTCCCAGCAATTTCCCAACAAAGTTAAACTGCAAGAAAATCAAAACGGCAACAGAATTTGTTGTTTGTTTGTGTGATTTCTGTTCATGGCTTTATTGTAACTTTAGCACTTTACAAAATGGTACATCTTTAAGGAGCACACAGGGCGCATTGGTTAGTGGAAATAAAAAGTTGTCTATAAGGGAGAAAAGTCTGCAAAACCTTGCTTCTAAATGATGTTTTAATGAAAGACATTCAGACATATGCTCTCTTCTTCTCTCTACATTTTTCAGAACATTCAATCTGTTTATACTGCCTTACAAAACTGTGCCCCACCCATTGACCCTATTGCTTCGGCCAGTCGTTTCTCACACTGTCGTGTACCATTCCTTGAAATCAGGGATCAGCACTAGGGTTTGTGAAGAAATCCAATACATGCAAAGGCTAACAAAGTTCTCCAGGATGATCAGGAGGTCAGATGCCAGATAGAAGCGAAAAATAATGAGTTCCTTCCCAATGGGAAATCAAGCAATATTTTACAGCTGAAGTGCTATCAATTACCTGCCCTGGGGCTCCAAGTAACATTTGAGAAGCACTGCAGTCGTGTCCGAATTCAGGAAATATTGTAGAATACTGCTGAAATAGAGGTTAGTTTTTTTACGACTTGCTGCCCCCAAACCCTAATACTTTACAGAACTACAAAAGGCATGGCATTAACAGTGAATTACTGCTTCTGGTGCCTGCAACTGGCTCGGTTTCTGGAGCAGTAACCAAACATGATTAAAGTCCATTCTGAAAATATTATTAATACTCTATGTACATGTATTTCAATTTACCATTTAAGTAATTTGCTGACCCTGCTCTGAAATTTGTTCTGTGTTACAGATTTTTTCAGGTTATATCAACCTGAAGGTAATTTAGAATTTTTAAACAAAAAGTTGTTGAAACGTTGCCTGTTTCAACAAAAATCAGTTTCCCTTTCTAAACTTCATTATAACCTTGAAAGCACAAGATATGTTTCTTCAGTATATCTTCAGTATATGAAGAGTTCACAATGTAATGACAGTTCTTAAAGATTGTAACTTTCTTATGATTCCAGGTATATAGTACTGGAGAAAATCCAACAAACTAAGAGAAAAGACCTCTCTACAAACATGTTTCAAAGCTTGCAGATTTTCCTAGTCAAATGCACAGTGGAGGTCAAAGAGTGGGAAATTTAACAAATTTACGTTTTACGGTACAGTATATGTAAAAACTGAAATTTCAACTTTGTAATAAGAATATCATATGCAATGTAATTTTCAAAACCTAATCTTTTATATTTCAGGACCGATACTAATGATCTGAGACACCTTTCACACCATTTACCTTGTTGTTGCCATTTTTCTCCTTCAATGGAATAACAGCTGCAGTTACATAATTTAATTTCCACACTTGTGGTTGTTCAGCCCTTGGTTTAATACACTGACTGTGGATGCTGCATGTCAGATGCCTCTGGGGTAGGTGAGATTAGACAGATACACTGCATTCTCTGCCTCCTACTCTCTTCATTCTGTGTCATGGGTTCAGAGCTGGCTAGCTGTTGGATTTCTGTGTAAACTAAACATATGTATAGAGGAAGAGCAGAAATTAATTCAGTTGTTTTAGAAGACCCTGGTTTGAAGGAAATTGAAAAACAACTAATAGATGATCTGCAAAGTGTAAATGTAGGAATAGGTGAAAAATGTACTGAATGCATTTGAATAAATGGGCATTTGAATCAACCCCACTGAGTGAATTAAACCAGTTCACCATGTCTCCTTGTTTCATGAAATACCTACTGTAGCTAGCAGTACAGGCCTGATTACCTTTATGCTAACTAGCTAGCTAACAGAAGAACATTTGGGATTTAAATAATTTAAAAACACTTAAACATTCAAATAGTCCTTCCATTCAACATAATGGAATCAGATTTGCATAGGAATTGAAAAAGAGGACACTTCTATAAGTTAGCAAAGTAAAAACTCTCAAAGGAACATGAAAAACATAAGACATCTTTCACCACCTTGATGACTCAATTCCGACTGGTCTTTTTGTAGTGTCCATTCCCTCTTTCTAAAGTGTGCTCCTTTTAATAGCATGTGTTACCTTTTTATAGTGTGCAACAGAGCCTCATACTGGCCCTACGAAATCTCTGCAGGGGTCACTGTGGCTGGAAGCTGAAAGCCCTGGTGTTACGTTCCACATCCCTCCTCTAGAGGGCGCTTCTACCCCTGTCTGTTATGATTAATTTCTATTATTTCCTGGTGCTTCTCGTTTGCTTTTTGGTTAAAAGCCTAGCGTCTCTACAGTTCTGGCTCAGCATTGGAAGATGGACGCCACAAGGCTCGCCTATTTTCTGGGTTCTCCAAAGGCAGGCCTTTTCACCGGCGTCCTGACCGCCTGGTTCCGTTATGTTTTTAGTTCCTGTTCCTGTGCCGGTTTTGACCCGGTTCCCCCTTTTAACCGTTTGTCTTGGATGGATCTCGCGGCTCTTGGATTACGGAATGCTCCATGACTTCCCTTTTTGATTTCCTTGGACTTGGTTGCTACCTCCTACACTCCCCGTGCACCTGCTCACTACAGGCACCACCCCCGTCTGTCCACCAATCCTAACCCCGTTGTCTTTTACGGATTATACCGTACACATAGGGTCTTTAATAACGCGCTCCACGGGAGTCAAGACCTGCTTCCGTGACTAACACTACCCTCATCAGTACTCAGCTGTATGCAGTCACGTCGGGATTCCCCGTCAGTCAGCTAGTGGCACGATCCTGTGATCATAAAGTACAGCCTGTGCTCAGGTGAGCATCTGGCCCTGATGAAATGTTTTTTTTAATAGAATTTTTACCTACATTTTGAATTTTTATTCGTTGCAAATTGCTTTAATGATTTTTACCAATGAATAAATCATATTTATTTTCTAATTGCATAGTTAACCACAGATCCTATGCTGGTTAAGTAATGATTGCTGAGATTAGAGTGCCTATACAGACGCCTGGAAGATGACAATTAAATTACAGGCCCAACATGGTTAATTCCAGTGCAACAGTGGAGTTAACTCCCAGAATGTCCTCATTAAAAATTAATTCCGAACTTGCAGGGGGTAGGCATTAAAAGCAACGGATATGTTTAAACTTAGAACTGGTACATAGAAAACAGCATACAAATAAGATAGGCGAATGTTTAAACTGGGGTGAAGAAAATATTGAATTACCACAGCGATCTTGACCAGGAACCTTGCTTCCTTCAATTATAACAAAGATCTGTATTTTGGTATTGCAATTAACTAGTCGAGTTCAGATGATACCAAAATAAGAGGACCTCTAAAAAGGTATATTTTCAATTTGCCTATAGAGAATGTCAATTCATATACTTTATATTGGATGATAATTCAAAAAAATATGTAGTCAAAAAGACTGGAAAAACGAGTAGCAGATGACATTTAGTGAATCATTGGGTTTGCAGACTACCAATTATAATATGTAATTTTTAAATTTGAGACCTTTTCAAGAAACAATATATTATATCCAAATGTCATGATTTATCATTAAAAGTAAAGAACCAGAGAGCTGAAATGTTATGTTAAAACTGCAAAATGCACTAGTAATACATCATTTAGTGGCAATTAGAATATTACCTTCAATTGTGGTCACAATGTTACCAAAAAAGATGGCAGCCCTGTAATCATTCCACAGAAAAATGAGATGATACATTTCCACACTTAAAGGAAAGGACTTGATTGAAGTATCCAAAATCATCATAGACATTGATAAATTGTACACATGGACTTCTTAAGAATCACTAGTAAAACACAAACCGAAAGACAGATGGAAACTAAGGGAATTTAAATCTCAGAATGGAGGCCACTTTTTTACACACAGGATTGTGGGTGTCAGGAAAAAGCAGTACAGACATGCCAATGTTGAGAAATAGCTTGATGATATCCTTGGATAAATCATCTACTCACAACCAAACTAACTATATGGGCCATATGCCTCTCGTTCAATTGAACCTTTCTAATTTTCTCATGATACTAGTGGAAAAACATTAAACATTTAGTTGTGAAAATTTGAAAGAAATCTGACAAATCTGAAGACAATAATCTGTGACATACTGTACCAATTAGTGTCACAGTTACTTTTAGTAATTCACAGTTTACCTATAATTGTATTTATAGATTTGAAGCTCCCTAACTACAGTGGCCAATTACATGTAGTTAAGTGCAATAAGGGCATTTTCATGGTATCCACCTTCAAATATGCTTGTTTGGGAGGTTAAACCTATGTTTGACAAGAAAATAAACATGTTTTGGAGTGTATAGTACTACAGCATGTGTACCTTTTCTCATCCTATTACATTCATTTATAATGGATTGTCACCGAGACTACAATTCTGGCATCTCAATCAGTGACTTCAATTGCAAAATCCAAGCTTAGCTGAAGTTCACTTGTATAGCACAGTCATGTTTTTGAAAACTGCAATGTTTGCCATTACACGTTAGGCACCACAACATTGTGTAGTGTCCAGGCAATTTCTTTCTGTTTTCACAAGGTAACAAATGCAAACTGGTTAGAACAATATTATCATTAACTGAGGGACTTGGAAGGTGAAGCTGTGGTCCCCAGTAAAAACAATCCACTCCTTGTTACTTGGAAGAATGCAGTTCCTTACTCATCTATTCATTGACATTCATTCAGTCCTTCTCATGCCGACATGACATAAACCGTGACTGTGTGACTGCTGTAGATCTGTAGCCTGTCTAATGATGATATTCCACATGAGGCTGCATCCCTTCATCTCTCTGTTGACTCCTCTTCCTCATGTCTCTGTAGGGCCCTTGAGGCTTCTATTCTGGTGTCCAGTATAGGGCTATGTTGGGTTTGCTTTTGGTGGCATTTTGCAAACCTATCTTATCCTTTTCAACTGACAGTAAGCTTTGCAGTTCTGCAGACACTTACTGTGTGTTCTGGAAGGTCTCTAGCTTGTCTCTTTCCAAGCTTTCAGCACTCTGAGGACATTGTTGTTGAAG